GCCCCCTCACTCCCAGTGGTGGGGATAACGCCTGGACAATAATCGTGTAGAACAAGCCAGACGATAATCGAGAGGAATATCCAGAATTAGTGAACGCATCTCGTTTCACCGGGGCTCTAGATAAAAATGTCAAATATGCAGTTGTGTCGAGAACTTGTGTATGTATTCGGAAAAAAAATAGAAGAAGAAGAAACGACCAACCGAGGGAACGTGATCATCGATAGAGAGACCAATAACGTTCCTAGACGGAAGCGCGCGATCGTAACGAGCAAAGTAAACGGCCTTCGCGTCTATAGGTGGCGACGATCGAAAGTTATCCTTATCAGACGAGGACGTGGCTTTTCTACTTTCGGCCAATATTCGATAGCAGTTGTTCCCCGTTCGTTACGAAAGAAGATCTTCCGATTGTAAAAAAAATTTCATTATACTACAACAGATGACAGCTACCAAAATGTTTTCTTTTTCTTGCCAAGACAATGAGCAAATGCGGTTCCATAACGAAGGGAAACGAGGACAAAATGAATCGCAGTAGAACGTGTACGAGAGAGAGAAAGAGAGAGAGAGAGAGAGTGATGTCCATCATGAGCGGCGAATTACATCGAAACCCTTTTCTCTGCCACTCGACTTTCTTTCGCGTATTCCCCGCACGAGTCACCTTTGCGTCGGTTACTTAACTCTCTCCTTTTTACTGCTACGTATCTCACTCAGACTCACTATTTCCCTCGCCTTCGCACACTTGACTCACGCTTCGGAAGAACAAAATAGGAACGATAAAATAACAAGCATATCGAGGCAAATGAGAATAATGACAGTCTGTTGCGCAAACGAATGTTTTCAGAGTTATTGTTTATTCGTGTATGTCCTCTACATAGTCAACGTTGAAGAAAACGATGAGGGAATTATTTGCGGCATATAAGTTACAATATTTTATAAGCCTGAATAATATCTAAGCCTACTTTTTCTCAAGTTATATAATATCATACAAGCATATTGTAAAATCATATAGATAAGTAGGATTTAAGTAAAATAAGTATCTTAGGGCACTTTGATTGAATCTATACAAATATTATTATAAATATATTGTAAAATAATGTATGCAAGTAGTACTTAAGGCAATTGTTGTTAAATATGCCATTGTTGTTAAGTTGCCAATTATATGGCTAGTAGTTTCAGCGATTCGCTACGGATGGCGCCACAGGTTGAAAATATAGTGTTATTCCGCAATTAAATGCGATTTTGACAGTGTTCTGGTCGTTTATTATTATTTTCAATGACAGTGGATTAATCTACGTTCTTTTAGCTTCAAAATCAGTGCTAGATCAAGACGTAAGGTGTCCATAAAACGTTGGAAGAGCTATTTAAAGTGAACTAAACGGGGTACGCATGACGAGCTACAGTGTCAACCGTTGTAAACAAATGCGATTTTAACAATGTTCTTGTGATTACTGGCTTTCAGCCGTTAGAGAATAGTAATCTACGTTCTTTGAACTTCGAATGCAATCCATGACGAGGAAAACTGATGCTCGTGTAGCAGTGTAAATCCGATCGAAAACTGTTGCCATTACATAACCACTAAACAGGCAACACTTTTCTTCGTCATGCATTACATTCGAAGTTTAAAGAATGTAGATTTGTACCCTATAACGGCCAATTCGTCTTGACCAAGCACTCAACTTGTAGCTGAAAGAACGTAGATTAATATCCTGTCAGTGGCAATAACAATAAACAACCAGAACACTGTTAAAATCGCATTTAATCGCGGAGTACCACTATTTTTTTGACCGGTGGCGCCACCATCTCGCAAATAAAGAAAATCTACTAACCACCGTCCAGTAAATACTAAATTTACTAACCACCATCTCGCAAATAAAGAAAATCTACTAACCACCGTCCAGTAACTACAAAATCTACTAACCACCTTCTCGCAAATAAAGAAAATCTACTAACCACCGTCCAGTAACTACCAAATCTACTAACCACCATC